CTGACTTGTATTCCTTTGGTGCCCCAGTCTAATGGAAACACCCATGTGTTTGACTGCTGACCTTGAGATGTGATCCAATCCTTTCAAGGCTGGGGAAACTAAAGGTCAGATTCACTAGGTTAAGCAAATGCTCACAAGAAAACATAGCTTTAGTGCTCTGCTTACAATTCACTTTGATTTTGGCCAGATAGTTCCATACCATCTCATCAGATCTTTGGTAATTTTAGATGTTCATTTTAATATTCTTCCTTTCCTTTTAAGCTAACCTTTTTAGTTTTCAGCAGGTGGACTTCTCCAAATCATTATCTTGTTACTGGAAATGAAACCAAAGCCAATTTGTTTTCATGTTATTTTTATTGACACAAAGTCAGTTCCTCCCAGGTCCAACTAAACAAATGCTAAACACAAAGTATGAGTTTGATAGGATGCCAAATTACCAGCTTTCCTGGTCACTGATATTCATACTCTATAATCCAGGGATCTTAATCTTCCACTCACTCAAGTAACTCAGTTGAATGAATAATCACCAGAATATCGGCTCCATCTACCAGCTTCAAACTTTAAAACTCTCCTTTTTCTTATCAACAAATAGAAAGCACCTAAGAGTCCTTTTAGGCTTGGGAATAAGGAGAATCTGAGAACAACATGCTCCTCACAACTGTCTATTTTTATATCTTTTTGCACATGAGGACATTGGTACAAAGAGAGATTGAGCAACAAAGTGGCATAAGTAAGAGAGCGGCCCAGGCCCAACAGCCCAGGGCCCATGTCTCTAACCTCTATGATGTCTTTAATTCTGACTCACAAGATGAAAAAAAAAAAAAAATTAATTCTTCTGCTTGTGTAGAGTTGCAAGGGAGATTTTTTTTCATCAGTTTTTGATACACAAGATTCCAATTAGTGATTAAAGATTTAGGTTGACTATTTCTTCTCATTTTCCATAATTTATAATTGTGCTATAAAAATCTTCTTCAGTCAGTGTTTCAAATTATGTGTTTTCTTTCTTCCTGTTTACATTACCTGGAAAGCATAAAAGCTACTTGAGAGAGCAATTAAATAATTTATGCCTCAGTTTATATGATGACATTTAGAAAATAACACCTGGAAAACCATTTTCTTTAAAGAAAGTAACACAAAAGGAAGAAGTAAGAAGCAAAACATCAGCAACCCTGGATGAAGGACAGCTTATTTCTCAGTAATTGACACATACTAATTATCTTTATGGAAGACCAAAGTGTATAAAATAATTGAGAGCATTTAGAGAAGACGTGATTGAATTTACTTAAAAGCTTAACATAATATTTAACTTATGGTATTACAACATATTGCTACCACTTATGTTTACTTTTGAAATAAATATATATCAATGAAGACATTCTATTGTATGTGGCAAAAACATATTTATCTTTTAAATAAAATCCTTCTTCCTAAACAGTTTATTGAGAGCCAAAGATACTCCCATCTTTATCTAAGCGCAATGACACATAAAACTAATATTATTTCATTTATTTTATAATTTTCCACTCTAAGAATAAAGAACTGTCCAAAATTGTCAGAACTGTGTAGGTGGTTTTCAATGTGAAATTTAATTCTCATGTAAAATTATCTGCTTACATGCATTGTACTAGTTAGTAAGGTTACTCAGACACAGTGGACACGAAATGGGTAAATAGTAAAATCCTATATTGTAGGTGGAGAAGGGAGGAGCACGGAGGGAAGTAGAGATTGTTTGTAATGTGTGTAAGTTACATCAAAAAAATAATTCTGGCTATAGCAGAAGAGTTGTCACCCAGTGATCTTCAACCTCAGTGTTGCTCTTTTCTCCCACACCATCCACCAAAATCAACAAAAAGAGCAAACTTGCTCTCCTTCTTGTTGCACAAAACATTATCCCACTCAGAACGGATGATGTATACAATCCAGAAATCAACAGCTTCAGGCAATTCATTGGAGTGAATTGTTTAAAGAAAAAAATCATAGATGTTATCAACTGTTACCAAGTAACAATGGAAACAGAAGAGAAGGCAATCATAAGGACATCATGAGGCAGAGATCATTTTTCTAGCTGTATCTGGTCACTAAAAGCAAAAAAACATAATGTAATAAGTCAATATCTTGATAGTAGTTTCTTTTCACACTTTAAATTAATTGTTTGGCAAATTCGATTAAAACCCTTGGCGCCTTGAACTTATTATTAGTGGTTACCAGGAGCAACTTCCAAATATCCAAAACGCATAGTATGTGTGCTTTATTAGAGAAATGAATTTTTAGTGACACTGATGTCTAATATGAATTCCCTCATAAGGTGGTACTTGTGTGTGACTTGCCTGGGAATTCATTGCACAATTCCTTAATTTACACTCATCCTTCTAGAAGGTGGGTATACTACTGTTGCCATTTTACAGAAAAAAAAAAAAAAAAAAGATTCTCTGGCCATTTGTGCAACTTGCTCCAGTTCAGATTACTAAGTAAATGTCAAATCTAGAATTTAGACCAAGGTCTTTTTCAATTCTAAATGTATGTTCTTTCTGGCTGCTTTCTTTTGCAACCGTTTCTCTTTTTTTTCTGTTTTTTAAAGTGAATGCAGGTAATTAAGAAAAACTGAACAATTATGCCAACATTCATGGAATAAATGCAGAGCCCTTAAAAATGTCATTATTAAAGAATATGTTCCATTTGAACGTATAAGTTTATTTTAAATTTCTTTATAGGTATACTTTGTCTACCCTGAATTGTATAGTCTCATCAAAGAGGTCCACATCCCAAACTATATTAATAAGCGTATACTCTTTCTTTTCCTAAAAGCAGTTATTTCAGCCAAAGCAGAAAGTTTTTATTTATCTGCTTGTGGCAGAGATTTCCTGATTCAATACTAGCACAGATTAATTAATTTAGTGATTGCAGCAAGGATCCAACTAAACTAAGCTTATGATCAGAGAACACTCTTTTGCCTGCATGCAGCTTCTATCAGTGGTTGCCTTATTACTCTAACGTACGATCTCATTTTTGTTACATAACATAGTAGGAAATCAAAACAGTGCCAACATGGGAGAATCAGTTTGCAAATATTTTATCCTCTGGACCCCCATTATAGTATATCACATTTCTGCTATGTACTAACCTTTTAAACTTTTGTCATAATAGCACAAGCTTTGAGTTCCTTACTTTGTGCTTATTTTGCAAGGAGATAGGGAAATCTCTTGTCATATATTGTACATATACATAAAGTCATGGATTCCTTCTAGGATTTCTTAACCTATAAGATAAACTTGGTGTTTGAAACATCTCTCCCCATTTCATCCTAACAAATACTCCCTCTGCAAAGAACAGCTCATTAACTTTATAATCTCCCAATTAATGATAAAAGTGCTATATTCATACACAAATATATACTTCTCTTGCATCTTCAGTCACTTAAGTGTATCCCGTAAGTACTGTAAGGAATGGGAACTTGTCACAAATTTCAGCATGTATTTGATAGGGATGCTTTCAAAATAAGCTCAAGTTCCTAAGACAGCACATGTGTCATCATCTGCCTAGAATGTTATTTCACTCTGGAAATTGTTGAATGCCCATTTGTCCTAAGTCTCTGTTTAAATATTTGTACTTTTTTTGTGATCTGGATCCTCTATTCTCTGGCCAGGTAGACATATGCTCTACTTTTCCATAATACTTCTAATAGAGTATGTATCGGACTTTGGTATTTTCATAAATAAATGGTAACAATCTTCTCTTGGGAGTGTTCAGTGGGTAAATGTGGTGAAGCCCAGGTCAGAATGATACCTCTTGTTTACTCTATAACATCTAGTTTTGTAGGCCCTGATTGCTGTGAAACAGTGGATTCTCATAGAGGCCAAGAAGCAGCCCCATGATCCAGATGCTAATACTCATTCCCTTTCTCTTCTCTTTTTCTTAGCCTGAGACAGACATCAAGTAGAGACTTCCCAGGTAAGGGTAGAAATCAAGAGCAGTGTGGCGGCAGCACATAGAGAGAACCACCACATCTCTGCTCACTCACTCAGAGTGTGTTCAGACAGCAGGCCTTTGGGTCAGGTGACTGTCTCTTGCTTGAAATCAGGGTGATAGGATCACTCCAAATTCCTTGACAAATTAGAAAGAACCAAGTACCTAGGTGCCTTTAAGCAGCCAGATTCTGAATTGTTATTAGAAACAATGATACCCTGGATCAGCAACTGGCTAGCATGGAGAATGAGGATGTCAGTTTCTCCCGAGTTGACATAGTTTACTATTTTACTGAATTGCTGATGAGCCTCCATGAAAAACATTCAATTTACCAGGTTAGGTGTTAAGCTACTCAAAGTGATGGATAAAGAAGCAAAGTCCCAACGGTTTTGAATTTTATCTCCCCTCAATATTAGAACATTTGCATCCTTACATTTAACTTAGGAAAGTTCACAATCTTCTTTTGTTAATTCTGCTATGTTTCACCAATACATTTCACTGCCTTGATGAAAAATAAGTTGCATTTTAGTTAAAATAGTTCACACATAATCGATAGAGGGAATTAGAGTCAGAGAGGCGCCCTTTTTTGAATTCAAAATTTTCTCAAAAGAATATTTTCTGTTATGATAATATGTTTGTATTTTGATCATAATTAGCAGGTTATTTTAGGCTTCTAATCAGAAAACACTTGAAGTGACTGTGCCTATTTTTTGTATATATCATTTGCTCTAAAGTCTTATATTTTGTTTCAGTACTCAAGAGCAAACAAATTTACTCACAAAAAATTTTTAAGAGAACTTGAAAATAGAATGTTTCATACCCATCAGATTTTGTCCTGGGATCCTGGCAACTATACGTATTATAGAAAAGTAAATTTAAATATTCCGTAAGTTCTCAAGAAAAAACTTTAGTTGCACTTTCTTATCATGGAATGTTCCATATACAAATTAATATACAAAGTTTCCTTTGAGGTGGATAACAGACCCATATGTGAAAAGCAAAACACTATCATAAAGTTTAAAAATTCATAAACATGCTTTTAAAAATTTTATTATTCCATGTAAATACAGTATTCTATTTTTGTGTTTGTCTTTGGTAAAAAAATTTGCAAATACATACAAAGTAACAATGAAAGAGATAACACTGGAACAAAGAGCTCTACTGTATTTTTTTGTTGTCGTTAATTACGTAGCAAGTTAAAGCATGGGTTCCTTTAAAATACAGAAAATCTTTCATGTTTAAGAATTTGATCACCCTGAATATAAATAAATTTAAAGTTTTCATATAGTCAAATGCCATAAGTTCTGAGAATATTAAATAGACTAGTTGTCTTATCACAGGGAATTGTCTGAAATAATGAATACTGGTCAGGGCCAAAGAATTTACCAAAAGTACTTTTCCTAAAGCAGAAATGACCTCAAATTATTACATAGGTATTTGGCCCTGATACTCCTACTGTGGTAAGCTATGTAAACAATTTAAGTATAATTTGGAAGCCTAGGGTGGCAGATATTTTTATCCATCATAACTAAAGCTCTTTTCTTCTTCAGCAACTGAAAAGTGTTAGATATTTGTCCTCATGGTCTTGGTAGGAGCTGAGGAATTCTATAATTCTGGAAAAAAAAAAAGTTTCTATCTGAATGATGTAGGATCTGCAGCATCACAAATTTAGGGAAAAGATGAATATAAGCATTAGGATGAAGCAGATTAGAAAACAAGTAGCTAATGGTATGAATAAAAAAATAAAAATATCACTTGAAGGACTGAACACTGTATTTACACTAATTATACAAATTTCAGGGTATCCATACTCAAAGATAGAGTTGAAAAACAACTCTATCATGTCTAGGAAAGACACAGAAACTCTCCTGATATCCTAGATATGAGGACTTTGACAGTATGTCATGTTTTTTCATTAGTACTTTTAATGGAGTTTTCTTTTGGATTGAGTGAAGTTGTGTAAGATGCACTGTCTGCAACAGCAACAAAGAGAATTCACATACCAACAAAGGAATTTATTAGTGCAAATTCATTTGAATATTTGCAAGCATAAATGACAGTGCATTTCAAAGCAATCTAAGAGGGAATACATTACAGGGGAAACTGTCTTAATATTTTCATTCTACCTTGCAGATTTCTAGAAAAATCAACAAGCAATAGTCTTGTCTTAAGCACAGAATTTAAAATAAAGTTTATCTTCATTACAGACAAGAAAACAAAAAATTATCGGCCTTATAAATTTTAGTATGAGTACTTAAATTAGGTATTTCACAGATTTATTTTCATTAATTAATGCACAAAAGTAACTGGTATTCATAAGAAATACAACATTGTGTTTTAAATAGTTCTTTAAAATATACGTTTACTGGTAAGTATTTTTACATATATTTAAATTAAAAATATAACATTCCTTCATATACACATGAGCTATTTCAAAAAATGTGAGTACCCTTTTCATGTGAACATTTTTAAATAAATATTTACAAGAGAATAATTTTCCTATCCAAAGATAATTCCTGTTTCTCTCTTATTCAATAGATGTTCCTCTCATTTTTTCAGCTAATTCTTTTCTCACTTCAATGTGTTTTTCTAAATTTTGCACTTCATGTGGAAGATTGATGTCCCAAACAGTCAAGCAAGATTGTATCTCTAGAAAAAGAAAAAAATGAAATCAAGTTTCAAAGATCCACCATAAAACATTCTTATTTTATTTCAGTTTGGCTTATGTATTTTTAGTTGACTTAGATAAATGTATATATAAACACAGCTATAACTAATGCACTAAATAATTATTTATAAAAAACTGTACTTGGACAATTTTTATAATACATTATAGAAACTACTAAATTTCAAGAAGATTGTGGACATTTAATAAATTAACATTTCATAATCTAAAAGAAATAAAGCTTTTCAAACACTGTTCAAAATTAAACATTATGTAGATATAGGTAAGTTGTAAAAAATATTCACATTTAGTTTAAGGTTGAGCTAGTGATTGACACCTCTACTTCATCTGAAAATATAAATATTTAACACTTCATATCACTTGTAATTTTGAAAGTTTACGCCTAAGTTCTTTATACTATAAACTACCAATTAAAATTCCTGATTATACCATATGTAATATTTTCTACAAATTTATAAAACACATAATATGTTACCATCATTCATGCCATTGCACTGTTTGGAATATAGTATCCTTTTAAATGTTACCTTTCTGCTGTTGTGTACCTTCAGTACTTTTCCGGTTATAGCCCAATACCAGCATGACATTTTTAAGGCTCCCTTTACAAAAACAAAATATGGAAGTTTTCCGTTAAAACTATATATTAAGCTGGTCTGAAAAAAATTAAAGTTGTTCATAGTCTAAGACACAAATACCTTGGAACTGAATTCACAGTTCTATTTTCTAGGTGACCCTTAAATTATATTGAATAAAGGCCAGCATTAAAAAAAAGTAACAAAATCTGTGATCCACTCCTTGCTGCAACTCTTAATTATGTGAGTCTGAGAAAACAGCTTAACCTTTCTGTAAAATAGGCTTAGAATTTATACATTACCCTCCCCAAAGTTACAATGTTAAATGAGGTAATGTGTGTGAAAAGTTCTTTGGATACGGTAAGGTACAAATATGAGTATTTAGATGGACACTTAGATGGATGGATATACTGATGTCAAAATATCATATTTTCTTCTCAAATCATTCACTAATTTATTCAACAAATTTGCATCAAAAGTCTTCTATGTAAGTCCTAGGCTAGATCCTGGGAATAAAGGGGTAAACCAAAACACACTAACCCAACCTGCTTGGTGTTTATATTCTAGTGAAGAGACTAGTATTAATGGAAAAAAAATATGACTATGATCACAACTATGCAAGAAAGCTGTTATGGGAACCCAAAGTGGGAACTTTGACCTAATCAGTGTTGGCTTCTCAGAGGTTTTGACACAGGAGCTAACATTTCAAAGCGTATGAGTTAACTAAGCATAAAAAAAACTACTTTAAGCAAAGAAATAAACAGCATGTGCAAATCCCTGAGGCAAAATATAGCACAGTAATTAAGAAGAATTGGATGTTCATCTAGACGAGGAAGATCTGGTAGGAATGCGGTAGATGATGGAGGCAGGAGAGGTACAGTGAAGCCAGCTCACGCAGCACCTTGTAGGCTATGTTCAAATTGATCTTTATTTTAAAATCAAACTGTAACCCATTGAAATTCTACTATAACTTCAGTTATAAGCAAGCTATTTGGGTCCCAAAGTACATACAATTCAACTAGAGAATGCAACAACTTTGGTAGAATAAGACTACGGAGACAACCCATTGAGATACCTACTGCTCTGCTTGTGTGGACATGTATCTTAATAGTTCACAGTCATTAAGAGCATCTAATTCTAACTCCTTCTGTGCAACTCTAACGTCTATAAATGAAAAATAGGTGAAGGTGCTAGAGAAACACATGTTCCTCTTTCACACATACTTGTAATGAGTCTATTTTCTTCACTATGTTCAAAACATTCATTAATTATTTGCTAAAGTTACATAAATTCTAGTTTTTTCCGGAATTAAACCCCATAGTGTTGTTTTTGTAAACTTTTGTATATGTGCTTTTATTGTTATTTTCTAAATCAAATTATTATCAAAGGAAGATACAAATATATTTATGCAGAAAATATATTTTATGTGCTATCACTATTTCATCATATTTAAATAGAAAAATAGAAGCAAAAAAAGACAAAGTTTCAGTAAAACATGATTTGTCAATATTTGTAGGTTGTGTGGTTCAGCATGTATTGCTGCAAGAATAAAGATTTGTTATAGAATGAAAAACTAAATGAGATTCTTTAACAAGCGTGGGAGGCTAGACTATGATTAAAATAAACATTTTCTTTATTTTCTTTGCTCAAAAAGTGAAATATATTTAACACTATGTATTTCCCATTTTTGCCTTAGGTAAAAAGGAAAAAAGCAAGTAAGACCCAAACTGAGTGTTCAGTTGCAGTAATCTGCTTCTCTTATGGGACTGAGAGCATTTACTCCCACCATTTCTGTAATGACCCTATTCACAATTTACACCAGTCTTATGTTTCATTGTGTGAACCTCCAAGACCATCCAAATGACACTGGAAACTGCAGAGAAAAAGTAAATGTAAAATAAAGGCATATTTTATAAGACTTAGAGAATATGAAAAATATCTAAAGGAAAGAAACTTGCCTAGCTGTGCTGTCATCATGACTCTGACCGAATCACAAAAGTTGTAAATTATACGTATAACTCGACGAGTTGAAAGATCCAGGAGTAAAACATGGCCTCCTCCAGTTCCTATCCAAAGAGCAGTGTTCTTCTGAAGGCAGAGAGCTTTCACTCTCCCAGAATAAGACATTTTGTGTTTTGATTCCTTGTTTACTTTTACCATTACCTCCCTAGAACCATAAGGGATACATTAATAATTTTACCACCAGTTAAGACATAAATGCTATTTATATATGAAAACATAAATAACATTTTAAATTATGAAAACATGACACCACACATTATGCATCATTAAAATTATACAAAGCAAATTTTGCTAAACACAGAATGCCAAAGAGTCACATTTCTTTACTTGAAGCATAAATTATCAAAGACAACAATAGCCCTTCATTTTCAGGAAATTATGAATAAGAGGGATACAATTTTTATAAATACCAAAGCTATCTAATTCAGTAAAAATAGCAAGCATGTGCCCAGGATAAAGAAAAAAAAAGTTAGACTCAAAAGCTTTACATGATGTCTCAGTGTTACAAAGGAACATAAAATTATAGTCATTCACATGTAAGAGATATCCATACAAACCACTGGATTTTTTCCCAGAACCAGTGAATAGTCTAATTCACGACCAAAATGAAGTGTCCAGAAATAAAAGAATCCTAATCGTTTTGGTACTTCAGGAAGTAAGGAATCCTTTATCAAGGAGACCTGTTGGTTCTTCTGAACATAAACTGTGAGCCCTTCTCACAATCCAGAGAAAAGCTGTCAGATGAATCTAAGAAAGGAAACTTCGAAGTCTCCTTTTACAGATAGTGTGTAATCTCAAATGTTCTTAAGAGTATCATAGATCTATAAGGTAAAACCAAAACAAAATAAAAATATAAAGTGGCTAGCAAATAAGCTTGAAAATGGTTCTGTTTCTTAGCACCAGCACAGAAAGAATGTGCTTGCTATGGATTTGTCACTCACTGGCTGCATCAGACTAAGCACTATGCTCTCATTCTGGGGTCTTGATCCCAACTCCTTAGTTAGTGCCTTGCTGAGTCCATTGTGTTTCCTCCCATATTCGTCTATTATTTTGTGACTCTTTTTCTTTGAGCAGATAATCCTGGGGCCCATAATTTAATTATAAATAGTACATTTGACACTGTGACACAACTACATCAAAGCTAGCAGAGACTCCAGTATGTTCATTTTCAATAATATACTATTTTCATTCGAGAGCATTCTTTATAATACCATGAAAAAACTATGCATATTATGCTCCTATTTTTTTATTTTCCCAAGACAAAATGTTCCTGATTTGAAGAGCTGGTGCCGAGAAGCATTACAAATTTTTTTCTGCATTTTTTAAAAATTCTCTATTCAGAGGCAGAAAGGAAGACAAATCCTTCCTCTGCGACACATGAAGTGCAAAGATAATTCTTTTGGAAATAAACTTAAAAGCCAATGAATTAACCTTAAAAAGTGCACACAGTCTATTAGTTCGCAGAGTTTTTCAGTTTTCTTATCCCACACTTCCACAACAGGGCTATTTTTCTTAGCAATATAGAGAGCAGTGTCTACCACCACTGTTACGATGTTGGAATCACTGAAAGCTGCATAAGAAAACCTACAGAGAAAAAAAAATAGAAAGTCATCACTATTTGTTTTCTTCTTAAAATTTCTACGTGTAATACAACCTTAGTTCTTAATGCATGTAAAAATACTATTTTGAAAACTAAACAAGCTAGACTCTTGCAATTATTTCATATTCTTCCCTAACAATTCTGAATTGAATATATAACATGCTTTGGTATTTTACATACTTTTGGTTACTTTATACTAATTTCTCTTGATAATAAAATAAAGATTATGTCCAATGTTTACTTTAGTCTTACTTTTAGTTTCAATTCTATGTGGCTCTTTGTAGAATTTTATACTATATCTAAATTTCTGAAAGAAGTATTATAATATCTGTAACTTTTGAATGTCATTGCAAAACTTTGTTTCATGAATGCTCAGAAAACTAAGCATTAGCCTTTTATATCTAGAGTTATAAAATATAAAATGTTGAAAAAAAATTTAGTTGCAGTGTCTTCAAATTTTAAAGCAAGGTATATCTTTGCAGTTGAGCCAGTCAAATTATAGGAAACAAAAATCCACATCATTCAAACATAAACAGAAAGTAAAATATTTGCCATTTTCCCCTTTTAAACATAAAGAAAAATTACAAACACCTTAAAATATTTCCCTTTCAACCTAAGGCATCTGACATTGTACATATTTCACAAACAGATTGGCTACCATGGGCCACATCAACACGGCAAACTCCTACTTGGCCTTTGAGGATTAACTTAAATGTCAGCTCCTCTGGATTTCTTCCCTGACCTATCAAAATAGACTAACCAGTCCCTTTTCCCCACTGGTGTCACTGTCATATTATAGACCTTATTAAATATAAAGTTGTCTTTATTAGGGCATCCCTCACACTAGATTATGAGTGTAATTTCATAAGGATGAGGATGATGTATTTTCTACATAACCCTCGTCCAGTAAAGAGTTGCACAGATAAGCACCTCTGATATACCAAGCAGTGTGTGAAGTGGGGGATAGACGGCACTCCAGTATGAACAAACAACCAGGAATAAGTAAAAATAGTCAAAATTGCATTTAAATCAGATAGATAACATGAAAATACCATAATGATTCAACAATCATTAGTACATCCTAGAGCAGGAAGATTTTTTTTTCTCCCCCTTTTCTTTCTATTCTGGAAAAGGAGATAAAAATATGATGTGTTGTCAGAGAGCCACCACGTTTTAGGTAACGCCTTCCTGGATGTTTGCTGTATTTAATAGAAAATAGTTCCAATTAGGATAAAGTTTTGCAGGGAATTTTCGTATTTTATAAAATACTTTTGTGTGTTATCTTGTTTGATCCTTAATTAAAAAAACATAAAATATGACAAATCTCAATGTTTTTAATTGTAGAAAGAAACATGTACAAATGCTATATAATTTGCTCAGGGTTCCATGACTACTGACGTCACGCTTGCTGACCTAGGACTAAAAACATGTTGCAGACCTAGAACTCCAAAAGTTGTGCAGTCTTCTGGCTTCAAAGGCAGTCATCTTTCATTACCCAATATGCCTCTCAGTCGGTGTGTATTGATGACGATGAGGGTACTGATAATGAGGCAACCTCTGATTCGTGATGTGATGTCTGTTTCGTGGGGTATGTGATGTCTGTTTCGTGGGGTAGAGATCAAGGCCACAGGAGATACTTGTTCAGAGGAGACCAAATATTTCTCTCTAAGTGTTTATGCAACTAAGTCCCAATCTCTTTTGGGAGATGAACATCTTTGAGAGCTTGATCTTTATGGATGCTCTCTAGTAAAGCATCTGTGCTCCAAATCTTATATGGAACTTTAAGGAGTTAACTGATATCCATGAGCCCATAAAATGTCTTATGAAATAAAAAAATGAACTGGAGGCCCTTTCTTTTTAAAGGTTTTCAGGCTTGTATAATTAGGTTAAAAGTGGAAATTACAGGAAGGGGAAAAAGGATGAAAAACTACCTATCGAGTACTATGCTCACTTGCTGGGTTGTGAGTTGAGTTGTATTCCAAACCTCAGCATCACTCACTATACCTTTGTTAACAAACCTGCACATGTACCCTTGGAGTCTAAAATAAAATTTGAAAGATAAAAATCATAAAATACATTTTTACGTTCATTTTTTAAAAAATAGGTGTTACAGAATGAAAATGAGTTGATCTAAATGTTAACCACACACTAGTAAACAAATATGTACACACAGAAATAAAAATCCTCACTCATGGGAACTTATAATACATTGCAGTCTACAGTATATCTTAACCTCGAATATACTTTAGAATCACTTGAGAACCTGAAAAAAAAAAACAAGTCTGATCCCCATCCCAGGCTTAACTGATCTGATTTAATTGCTCTGAGGTAGGGCCCAGGTATCATTATTTTCAGCTACCTAGTGGTTTCTAACTGCACAGCCAATGTTGAAAACCAGTAGATTTAGTGGTATTAAGAAACTACTTTAAAAAATACAATTATAAAAATAAAATAGCTATTGTGATGGAAAACAATAGATGCAATGGAAGCACAAAGTTACCTAACCTGCCACTCAGAGCAAGTGGCA